GGCATAAAAATAGGCCTCATTTGAGGGTTAACGTCATAAATTATACTGGATTAGTCGTAATGGATCAACGGGTCACATTCTGCGGGAACGCGTCATGTCCCTTAGTAATTATATAAGTAATTACTGGAGTGTCATATGACACAATTTGCCAAATCGTGTCCCACAAATGTCTAGTACTAAAACTTTGTTGTACATAGATTTAATTCTGCAAATGGACCTTGTTAATTTAATAAAGGAACAATATAAATGGATTGTGTCAATTAAAATGTAAGGAATGATGAATAATCACAATAATCTTATATTATGAATTAGATTAGATTATAATTTTGGGTCGCGTCTAATTAAATTCAGTCAACCGCTCATAGTATCATTAGGATATGTTTCATCAACAGAAAATTTATATGTAAAGTACTTTGTACATATACGACTCTTGAAATATCAAAGTACTTCGAATTAAATGTCGAAAACTCAAAAATTTAATAACAATTTTAAAAATGAATAAAATCACTATACAACAAATGAAATAAAATCGTATTTAATTAAAAATTTATTAGTACATTCCATTTTTCGTACAATCAAGGCTTGGAATGTTTGAAAGCAGACAGTGGATAGCGTCAAACAATTCTTGTTATGTAAAGGGCTATCTGCCGACTATTGTAATAAACCCCTCCGGTATTTACAATATTATATGAAACTCCGCATTTTGATAATTCCAAGATATCAGGTTTGGAATTCATACCAGCTGAATAAAGAATTTAATCGATTACATATTTAATATTATAAATTCATTTCATATTATGAATGATTCAAGTTGGAATAAAACATTACAATACATTGAATTGTCTCCGAACAGAGTATAAAATGTATACATATGGATACCGTTAGTGCCCCTCATTACATATCATTGCCATTAACGTCGTAAGGGAGCGAGAAAATCCCATGTCAATAATAGGAAGGCTTCCGATACCAATATATGGGGTCCATAGAAGCACTTATGACTCCCGCCGGCGCCTTTATAATGTAACTTGTTATTACCGGTTTGAGAACTTTGGGTTACTTCGGAAATATGGCTTTATACATGTTCATTGGTTGTTAGGGTGTGTTTCAATTATGTTATAACATAACAGATTTTTACATTCTCTAATAAGTTCCTAATTAACTTTGTTTGGGATGAATTCAAATATAAAATGTTTGTTAATTATTTTAATTTACTTATATGAGAAGAAACAAAGGAAATTTTAAAGCTTGCACTAATGTACTAATGTTATAAATATAATCATAGTTTACGCTTATTGGAGACAATACATATATGTATGTCTAGTATATACATATGAGAGAAATAGCTAAAGTAATAAGATATATTTAATAATGACTGGATAGTACTTGACTGTCATTCCACCCGTTGGCAGGTGGAAATGAAGTCGTAGGTAGTGAACGAACTATCTCAGTAACAGCCTGTTCACTCTAGCCTTGACGACACCTAAATTACTATTGGAAGGAAACACGAACGCAGGCAAACTTATTCATTAAGATTTAAGTCAAATATTCTTCAATTATATTTGAGGTACATTATAATTTATTTGTCCAACGTGTGAGTTAACTAAAAGGTTACTTTCATTCTTATACTGTGTTTGATTAAAGCCTTTTTATGTTTTTTTCTTTTTTACATGTTTCCTGTATAAATAAATTTGCATTTTCGATTTTCACAACAGATATAAAAAGTTGCATGGCACAGGAGCATTGTCGTAAATGACATCAAATATTTTCGATTTTATATTTACAACTTTACTTTTATGTCAAGACTTCACGTCATGTTACAAGATGTACCGAGTTTACAATTTATCCGACAAATCATAAAAAAAATCTTCATATTTTTTATTAATATAGATATTAGTGGGGTTTAAATTTAATATATTATTTTAACGGCCATGTTTATAAAAATATTTGACTTGTTTTATCTTTACAAATTATAATTTTTGCGTCGTCTTTGTTAAGTGAAACAACTCAATTTCGTAAGTTTTCCACATACAATGTTCACGAGGGTCACTGCTGATTAATCTCGATGCGGGCTATATGTTATGATCGGGAAATCTTTTATGTTTTTCCCTTATTCCATGTTACATTTTAATACAATATTTTAGTCTTTAATCTTTACAGGTGAAATCATTTTCTATAGTAATATTTTTGTTTAATTAAGGCGTGCGGTACTTTGCTCTTGTAAAATAAGACTATAGCCTATAGTTTCCTTCTGGTATGAGTTTATTAATATACGCAATAAACATTTAAAAGTACGATGTCATTTAGATTGGTAACCGTAGACATTCAATCATTCTGAATAAAATATACCTTTTTGGAAGGGTTTAGGGAAGGTCAAAATAGTATATCTTAAAAATTTCTTTAAAGCCGCTTTTATTGCATAGTTAACTTGTTGTTTGAAGTAAATACAAAAAAAAAAAACAAATGGACAAACACACTTAAGATTTTTATATAGAAAAGTCTTTTCTGTAGATAACAATGTACTTACCCAAATTAATAAAAACTACCCACTACCTGATTCATTAATAGGATCAGTCAATTACTTAAAATGCTAATACAATCCCAAACCATCAATCACGTTTGAACCTTATCGTTCGCGGCCTTTTCTTTGTTCTAACATTTACCAAATATTTTTATTAAGGACACGTTTAAACAAGGAAAAATGTAGGAAATAAAAATAAAAAATAACTAAAAGATTACAGTTTCAATTCACTAGAATGCAAAAAAAATATTGAATCGTACAATAATGTTTATGAAATGTTAGGAGTTCAAAGAAATATGAAGTAATTTTCCATGTATTTTGTGTTATAATGTCGGGTTTCTTGTAATACATTTAGTTCCTCAAGTTTCATGTCATAATCAGATAACGTCAGGTCATTTCAATTTGTCAAATCTTATTCAAAAAATAAATTCATATTAGTGAACATCTAAAAGATAATGTTATAATATTATATATATAATTATATTCGATTATCTTTTTATATAAAACTAAAATACATAACGGCTTTGGGGTGATTCAGAAATATGCGTCGTAATATAATTAATCGTTTTATTATCTCAGCTTTAATGGTATTTTCAAAATTCATTAATTTTACAACTTCTTTCAAGAAATATCGCTTTCTTGCCTTCGGAAATATTTCAATAAATATTTAACGACATTAATTGTAACTTTGGGACAAAATCTGTGTCAATGCCCAATGGCAAATTATTTATTTTAGTATCAAAAAGTTTAGTATTATAAGTACATACATATATCAAAGGTAATGCTTCGCATTTATATCTAAAATATGGAACTATATTTTACCCAATGAATACTGTAAATTTTTCAGGTTCAGATACAAAAAAGACATGTATTTACAATTTAATCCATTCTGTCTAATACATAACCTAACCTTTGATATTTTTGAATGAGTATATTTATACAATATAGTTACAAATGTAACGAAATTCTTTTGACATTAAGAATAAATCGATAAAACATTCGTGCATTAAAATCTAAGATATTTGCTACATTTAACGATAAGCGATTGTTATATTCAAATACTGAACGAAATCTCTTCTTCACGTCTTAAGAGGTCAATTACTTAAGAGCACGGTACAATGGGGGTCCATCGATCAAAGTTCGCCCCTGTCCGACCGTGACCAAAGCCCGCCTCACTACAGAGCACTTTTATTCCTCAGCTTCACCCATTTTATAACCACTTTTATCCAGCTTTATTTTGTTAAGATTGATTTATTACAACGCTTTGCGAATAATAAAATCCGTTTTAAAGATTTGTTATTTTGAATATTACACAATAAAATTATTTTCACAACGCTCCTATCTTATTTCAGTCACTATTACAAAGAATAATAAGAAAGGTGAGGTGATTATTTGCATTTCACCGATTTGAACACTGCTTGCAAGACAAACATAATTAGAGATCAATTAAATTTTTCAAATGATAGAACTTCCTCCACTTATTATAATAAAATAAATCAGCAAAATAAATCTCAAGAAAAGAGGAACGTCCGCATCGGAGCAATTTCAAGCTTTAATTAAGCTTAGGAGGATCGAAGTAAAAGAAACAAATAGAATCCTACAACAACAATCAGCAAATATTTACCCTCAATTCCAACGAACTCTGGCTACCTGGCGTTCCCGGCAAAGAAACGAAATCAATCGACAGAGAAAAACCAGCGATATAATAGAATTGAATTATCACAAAGACCTTGGAGGCGAGATCTCGAATGAGAGAATCGGTAATTTGATTGTGTTAGCAAACGAGCTGGGAGAAACCGAAAATTCTTTTGTTAGAAGCAGCTTTAATCAAAATTGTTATGATTCCGACGCAACAGGTTGTTTATCGCAAACCAAACGTTAGAGACAGAAAAATGTCCAAGACATTATTTTAGTTGCGCCAACATTGTTATTGAAAACATATCTTACGAGTATATGAAACATTGAATAAATGATAAAAACAAATAATTATATGATACCTTTCAAATAGTATAAAAAGTATAAAACATTTAATTTTAATTCAAAGTAAAATTATTTTGATCTTAAACAAATAATTCATTAGTATTTCATAACAAAAAGCGTGTCTTGTAATTTTGATAAGAAATTTGATTACGAAATTGTTGCGAGAAATTGAATTATATTTCGAATTAGAAACATCGTTTGTATCATCTGTATTAGCCGTTGAAAATAGGCACTTTGGGACGGAATTTAATTTATTTAAATATATGAATATTAACGATCAAATCATTGTTAACGTATTTTTAAGAAGAATTATAAATCATATATAATATTATTATTTCTAAGACGCATGATAACATAAGTTACAGTCATTATGAAATACCACAAAAGCAGCTATAGTACAATACTTACCTAGTTAAATATAATCACCAAACACGCCGCCGGTTTTATGTATTTAGTTATTCATATATAGCTTCAGCTAACATATAACATTAAACGCACTTACCCCGCTCAACGTTTTGATATTGTGCAAAGCGTCCTGAGCTTTCAACGCCGCTTTCCTCGTGAAAAACGTCACAAAACAGCACCCTGGAACAGAGGCGTACACATACATAACATTGCACGCACACACACAAATCAATCAACTCACACAGCTACGTAACGCGTTCAAATTACATGTACTAGCAATAACTATGCACAACAATCACTTTTATAAAGGCTTCACGTTACATCATCAACTCACATGGAAATTTATACGGAGATGGTCGGTTGTTATATACAGAATAGTTCAGACAAACATAAAGGCCTTATGGATTTGAAACCTGCTATAAATCCCAGTTTAAAGTTGGTATTTTATATGTAAATGTGTTTACATTTCACAATTCACAATTTTCAAAATTGGTTAAGTAGTCCATCTTTTTATATTTTTAAGACAAATAGAACTTGGCTATAGTTAGTTTTTTAGTTTACTCTTGATTTCGTATAATTACAAACTTAATAAAAACTCGTTAAGGTTACGACCAGTCTATAGAAAGAGTAAAGTTTTATTTAATATTAACTTATGTATCCTTGCCAAAACCTAATTCCTTACTAAAACAATATAGCAGGTGACTGGTAACGCACGTGAAATTAAACAAAGGTCCCATATTTGCATGAAAACTTACAAAAGGTGCTTTTTCATATAGAGTACCGGTAACAAAGCAACAAAAATGTCAACATGGAGCGTACAGGTTTGTTTCGCAGAACAATGAGTGACGTGTGAAGGAAGCCCACGGGATATTTGGTTAAACTAAATTTATCCTGGGTTTATATCGCCTACGACTGTATTACCTTTGTAGACCTGTATGAATCATAAAGTGACCTGAATTTACCATTACTTTTCAGGTTGGAAATATTTTACTAATAACTTTAAAGACATTTTTATGTCACTCTGCTGACTTGATTATTGTTAGACATGTTGCGTAATGTGTTCTATCCTTACATTTTTATAGAGTTAGATATGTGTCAATTCTATAAATCTAAGGTATTTTTAAGTTTAAGTTATTTATTTTTCTAACTTATTTTTATAATATTTGTAAGCAAGTTTAATCATCATAAATAAAAATAAAATTTAATTTGGTTTTGTTGTCTTCACTTACTATTCTAAATATTGGTATAATCATAACAATGAACTCGGAGTTAATTTGACGTTATATGAAGAAATTTCAATTAAACGGTTTCAAATCACTCTCAAAGGCACAAGACGCGAAATATAGTCAACTCCAATCCGCTTTGTAATGAATTGCTTTAAGGAACGACCTAATAAATACATTAAAGAATATACACGAGCAATATTCCGGAGAGTAAAGAGACTGGAATTGTTGAGTCAATACAATTTTGAGTAATTTCTAAGGATCTCATAATAATCAGATAAAGACACAGTTTTAAACAACGAGAAAATTAATCTAAATAAAGCTAAGGTTTTCGGATACTACTATACATTTTTAAAAATATTTTATGACATAATCCTGACGTTTCGGTTCTTTTGCAGCAAATGTGAGCACGGGCAGACGAGATTAAAATGAAAAACGAAGAAATAATCTTTTGGATCCCAAACGAGTTTAATAACAAAATCGAATGGTCCATTTCATGGCATTGTTCTTCTTTGTTGGTTTTCATAACAGGGTCTAGGTCTACCTACCTTTGCTTGCTCCCGTGATCTTATCCCTTAGCACATTGATCTGATGGACCCTCCCAAACTCTTCAAACATCAGCCGGAGATCGTTTTCGTCCATACTTCTAGGCACTTGACCGACGAACATCTGTAACGCGAATAAAATTCAATAAACATTTGAAGGGAATTAAGATATAAAAGTATTTATCCGATCATAATTAAATGAACTAAAGAGTATTTTTAATAAACGCGCGAATAGTATTTTGTGTTATGAAGCTTGAATAACTAAGGCCATCATCGAATCTATACAAATATGAATGCATCCACAAATATCTAACACATAGGACATCATATTTATTTTTATATTAAAAGAAATACTAAATCCGTTGAGCCCTTTTAAGTACGTAACTTAAATGCTACCAACATTATCAGATTAATCTAATTGTTTAAAATAAAATCGGCATCCATGTTAATTGTGTACCACCTCGAGAGCACTCACAACAAAAGTGGACGCTTGAAAATTCGCAAATGAAGTGATATATTGGCGTAATTAAAAAGGTTCCGCTCGGACGTGCGAGCGAGTACGTACGGTCACTCGCACAAGTTCCACTTAATTACATGACGTATAAAACGCACGCGTTGCCCACCGTACAGGCCTGTGCGGCCTGATTGCTTTCAACACGCCTGTCAAACGAAAAACTTATTTCTCCAATGGGATTTATTGTAAATTGATTACTGGTAATTCCTTTTGAGCCTCAGTACATTATGGAGTTAAGGCTACAAATTTTTGAAAAAAAAAATTTCATTTGTAGATTACCTGATAATTAAAAAAAAGGAGTAATTTTTGCGATTTCTTATAATAAATTATGTATACAAAAAATGGCTTCAAAGATTCGTTCATTACATAAATAATAACACTAAGTTGCAATTATTCTTTTCAACAACCGCATAAAAATGTTACAATTCTTCTATTGCTCAAATTAAATCTATACTAATATTATAAAGCTGAAGAGTTTGTTTGTTTGTTTGTTTGTTTGTTTGTTTGTTTGTTTGTTTGTTTGAAAGCGCTAATCTCCGAAACTACTGGTTCGAATTGAATAATTCTTTTTGTGTTGGATAGTCCAGTTATTGAGGAAGGCTGTGAGCTATATAACATCACGCTACGACCAATAGGAGCAAAGATATGGTGGTAAATGTGTAAAAAACGGGAGAAATTATTTCATCTTTGAAGCCTTCCGTTGCGTGCGCCGTGAAAACGGTTCAAGATACACAAAAAATATGTATGAAAGAATAATAGCTCTTTTAATGATCTAAAAAACAGTCTGCGACAGTATATGTCTATCTTCTAAGATTAACTCACAAAAACCGTTTTTATGGTACCTAATTTGGTCGAAATAATTTGTTTAAGTTGTATCAACATAATAATATTAATCTTTATTCAAATAAACAAATAAATATGCTGTTGGTTAAGAGTGCTTCATTGTGAATAAAAAAACAGGTTTTATTCTGAAAATTCTACGGGAACTCGACCATTCCGAAAACCCCGCAAGAACGGGAACTATGTGGGAAGGACCAAAAATCTGCCGGAAGTCACTATTCCACGCGGACGGAGTCGCGGCAAAAGCTAGTGTATAATAACAGTAAAAACCTATATAAAGTAACCAATACTATATCAGTTATAATAAGAAATGAAATGGAATTCTATATTTTCTATCTGAGTACAATCAGCTAGCGGTTGGATTGGTTGCATGTTACTAGAACACAAAGTAAATTAATATATAGGACATGTTCTACTTCTTCAGTTCAAGTGTTTCACAGCGAACATCGCTATCTTGGCGTATCGCAATTTCAAAACTTGTCACCAACGAAATATTAACTTAACACCTTTGAATCCTCCTGTTTATATAACCTAATCACAATTTTATATATTTGATAGCAGTTAAAAATATTTAAACTGTGTAGGAATAAAGAAAGGTTATTTTGTCTCAAGAAATGATGGTATGTTTATACATATACAACAAGTTTATAAAAAATACCTTAATTTTGAAATAGCCTGTATAAAAACATACATACATAGATAAGAATAAATGTACGCAGTATGATTGATTACAGACTCCTAATTTTTTTAGAAAGAAACACGATATTTTTCATACAATTCTTTCACGGAACGATTGCGAAAATAGTGAAAGGTTTGCTGAAAAAATAAGGAATTTTCGGGTTTACGCGATATCGTTATCACGGTAAGTTGGTAGATTGAATACACCTGCAAACGTTCACACGCCGATTACATTACTATATATGTACATATATATATATGTTCATGGAATGAATGAAGAATCGAATGAAACGATCGAATTGAATGAGAGATCATATGAGTACATTTGTAGGCCATTCAATTCATGTGAATGATCTCGTTAAGAAAAATTACAGGCAGCGTACTACTTAACCTAATGACCAGATATTCAAGTTGCGCTATTATTGACATTGTTATTATATACGTATGATTCTATAATAGTATAAGAAATATATTTTTATAAGTTGTATGATAACAAAAATAATAAAATATATGTATTAATAGAAAAAATACATTTTGTATGAATTAAATTGATTCAAAATTAAACAATATGAGTTCTTGTTATAAGAATTTGGTAAAAAAATCTAATGGATTTCAGGTCTCCAGATAATATTCCAAATACGTAGGATTTGAAATTGAACATATGTCTTGTAAGAGATATATTACTCATTTTATTGTTATATCTAGTATATAGCAAGTTCTGACGTGTCCAAAATTGTATGACAGTTACAACTTAGAATCCTCTAACAAGACTTCAAAAATCGTTTTTGTATTCACCACACCTGGTAGTAATGCTCCCGGCTTTAGACATCATCCCTCAGATTTGTATACGAGTGTCGGGATTTGAACTGTCTAAATCACAGATCTTTTAATGTACAGCTATTATTAATTTAGCTATATTTTAGTAAAAAAATATATATACTTTAAATCTGTATTTAGGTAACATATGTATATACAAATACTATTTATTATGATAAGCAAATGATAATATAGAACTTTGTTTTTATATATTTAAAATAGTTCTCTCAATGATTAAAGAGATAACCCTTCCTATCTTGATTGAATAATCCGCGATAGTTCATTCTTACAATTAATGTAATTACAGTTGTAGACAGTGACTTTTCTTAAACTGTCTTTAATGCAAAAAGATTTAGAGCTCGCTCTGAGGATTCCAGATATCAGAAAGCCAGTCTGGTACCGCTTTTGTACCGTTTAAATTAAACCAAAGTGTTTCGAAAATGTACTGCTAATTTAAAATAGGATTAAATTACAACCGTTCACTTTTATTTCTAAACGGAAAACAAATGAGAAATGTAAGATTCCTACAAATTGAATTGGTACAGACAATTGGGTATTTATTTCTCTTTTATTAAAAGAAATATTAATAATATTTTTTGTATGTTGTATGTTATTTATTTTAATAAAATTGAGTATCCTTTTTGGTAGAAATCGCGAGAGTGAATGACGTCTTAGCTTAGCAATTGTAATATGCATTCCTATATCCTGATCAATCAATATATATATATATATATATATATATATATATATATATATATATATATATATATATATATATATATATATATATATATATATATATATATATATATATATATATATATATATATATATATACACATGTTTGTTTACCTTTATGTAATCCGGATCCGGTATATCAGACTTCTCTTCATTGTTGTTGTTGATAGTGGTGCTGTTGTTATTCAAATTCATATTCACCCCACTGAAACAAACAACAATTTTTATTCAATACATATAGCACAATGATTAAACAGTTACAATCCTGTTGTATACCCTACGTCGATAGTTATATTTAACCACTAATATATAACATTAAATAGTCAAATAATATTAACAGTTACACATAAAATAAAAAACGTATATACGTATATATTGGTATTCTAAATTTAAAGACAAATTGCATAAAATACAAATGGAGATTTTGAAACAGTGTATATATTGTTAAAATTATAATATGAGTTAAATTTTACAGCTGTGACAATTAAAAGATATTTTAATTTTCGCTTCATGAAATGTATGTACATACGTCAATTGTTGACTGTGAAATTAACCTTGAATTAAGCTTATGTATTTTGTCAGATTTTTTTATATAAAATGTATGAAAAACACTCATAAACATCTAATCTTAAACGTGATAATAACATTGTCTATTCAATTTTCAGTCTATTACTTATAATACATAACTTTAAAGACAAACATAACGGATCGTATCTTTTAAAATAAAATTTTAGTTTGTTGTATGGCGGTTGCAAGACCTTTCATTACAACAAGTCTTAGTTTCCAAGATAATTCGATTTTTTATTAAATAAAGTGCCTAAGGAGTATAAAGATTTAAATAATAACATAAACATACAAAAAAACACAACGGAAATTTTATTTTAATACATAACTACATTGATTGTACATATTTGAATCATAACAAGGACGCCATATTCTGACGAGTGTTATCAAACAGTAATGTTAATACAAAATTACCTTATTGTTCTAGAAAAACCACTCCACAAGTACTGGTACCTGTTCGCGTCCTTATCACCGATAAAAGCGTACATACTTGATAACGTTATCACTTATCAAACGATCTACAACTCGTCGCAAGTTAGAACTGCTAATATTATGTCGGCCCGTGTTTTACAACTACCCACATTTAGCATACTAATGTCATCTATAAAATTTGTACCCTATATTTTATTGATTCAAAACAAATTGATTAAAAATGATTTCAACAATTATAGTCCATAAAAAAAGTATCCAACAAAAAAAAATCTATTTATTTCTATCTAAATAAACACTAATTTAGATTTAAAACATTGTATCTGTTTTAATTTTAAACAAAAACAGCAAATATTATTATATAATCCTAACTCCTAGTTATGGTGATTTAACTTCAGCACGAGAAATTAGCTGGAAGTAGAGAACTGTTATATTATTGAAGAGGCCATATTACTTCAAACTATATTACGGTTTCAGTGAAGTGAACATTCCGCACATTTGATATAGCAGAGCTATGTAATTTATGACTGGATCATTGTTATTTTGATATTAAAGTATCAAGTTTATTTAATATGGTAATATATTAATATTACTTCCTATTAACTGATCTCAAGTTTACGAATAAATAAATTAAGATCCTCTTAATAGTAAAATAATCACCCATTAATGGGTGTAGTTAAACAGTATGGGATATCCATGTAACATGTAACCCTGATGACTGTATTTTTTTAGGAAACGAACAACACACGCTAGTTCGCAACTAAAAGGTGCTTGTATTATGTTATCAACTTTTATCTTTAGATCGATACAAAACTTTATAAACACAATAACTCGATCATACAAACATCGAACTTATATCTATAGTATGAAGTATCTATATTCCGTGTATGTCTGAAGCGTGGTGGTTACGTTTGGGGTGTCGAACTAGATATTATAGTGTAATTTAGTAGGGCCAGTTATCAGCCTGAAATCCCATAATCCGTGTTAAATAAACGTAAGGCTTTTAACGGACGAGTACCTTAAATATTGATGACGTTACACGCTCTGTTTGAAATAAGGTATTTTTAAAACAACTCTTCAAAGAATTACGTAAACAAAACCAATTAAATATGTAAAATTATATCTTTCTGTTCAAAGATACAAATAATTTAAAGCCAAATTCGAAACCCGGGTTGTATATACTTTCTTGATTTATCGAAAACTACTGATATGCTTTGTGTGTACATAGTTTTAGCTGTTTGCATATTTCACAGTGAAATATGTAAATTATAACAATAGCTAGCGACCAGAATTGAGATTTACCAATGATTTGGGATTTCGATGATAAAATCCTTCAATGACGCTTCATATTACATCTTCGCGAGTAAACAAAATTTTCAATTAATATATCTTTATATTAAAGCCTGCCATGTATTCGTCACTTCGTAAAATTTTATCCACCAATCATTTAAAATAATATTTTATAAAATGTCAAACACAAATGATTAATATTGAAATTCGTAACATATTTTATTGTTTATAAAAAGCCAAAAATATATTAAAGGATTTCCTTTTCCACTTGTGGTCATTTTCAACGTGACATATGTCATATTTGGTAATTCCAAAAACGACAACTGTGCTATTATTTCATTTAGTATGATTTAAAACATCCTACTTTTTTATATTGACCGTGAATATGTCTATGGTGTCTTCAGCTTTTAAAGTTTGAAAAATTGATCCAATTTTCTTAGTAGTTCAAGTGAACTATACTGTTTGTTTATTTATTAAGAAATACACAAACAAAATTTTATTTATAATTTAAGTAAAAATTAAAACATCGTATTTTTTATTATAAAATGTTACAATTATTATTAACGATAACGAAGTTGACACATTTAAAAATTAATCGACAGGGAGTTTAAATTGATATCGGTTTTAACGCTTCCAATCGTTAAATTTAATTTTAACGAATATTTAAAATATTATGTCTTAAAAGTGTTTAATAAAAATATTTAAATACAGGTTGTCACAGACTCAACTGCTGCGACCTGTCATCTGTCATTTCAATTTTATACATGACTTTAATTTCTTTACGAAACATTTTTAATTAAAACTTCCTTACATATAAATATCAAAGTGCAGATTTTATCAACTGTAACAAGACACTAAAATCGGTTGCAAGAAGGATTTTGGAAACAAATTTTGAGGCTTGAAGAACCCGAATTTTTATAACATTAAAAAATGTGTGTAAAAAATGTATACATATTTATTTATCTAAAATATTTTGAGCAAATGTGTTTTATTTTAATATACAAGTAAAAAGCAATCATGTTCTGTCCATATAAAAAATAACTTAAACAAAAAATGGTCTTTTACTTTGATTTACTTTTTGAATCAAAAGTAAAATATATATTTTTGTATACAGTAAATTTTTAAAAGGTTCTGACAATTAAGAAAATCTAACTGTTTTCTTCTTCGTTTTATATACGTTTTCGACACTTTTAAGAAAAATATATTTAACCAAAATCTAAAATATTCCCAATCTAATTTGGATACAGTGACAGAAAAATAACTTTTTCCATACTTAATATTAATTGTTAAAAAAAATTAGTTATGAAATTTAAGTTCAAGAGTCAATGAGTTCTATTATTGTAATACCTAAAAATTTACAACATTTTGAAAAAATAAATTAAGTAAAGCTTTCGGAGACACAGAATTATTGTCAAAATACATTTGAAACTTTGTTATTTTTAAACTTAGGCCTATTTTGTTCCTAAATGTGTCGAAAAAATTCAAAGTAGAATATACATATATTCCACTTCCATATTTTTGTGTACAATTTATACAGAACAATTATTACAGATTATAAATAAGTACACTGCATAGCCGTGACGTACGTGTATGAATTTCAGGAATTGTAATAATGAGCATTCTACTTTGTTGTGAATATCCTTATTACGAAATATAGAACATTAAAGGCGACGCTCTGCTAAATACGTTAATATACCGAGTTATATTATTTAGAGAAAATTTATAACTAATTGAAAATTATTTCTTATCGAGACGGAGGTTAAAAAATTTTTGTATTCTTTATAATTGTATAAAAGACTATTTTACTTGATAAAATAAAAATATTAGTAGAAATTAAATATAAAGATGTTAAATATAAAATATATAGTTGTTTGTTACACTTTAACGCCAACACTATTAAAAAGAATTTATGACACTTCAAAGTGCAGAGTAAGTAGTTAATAAATCACGAAGAAAGTCAGAAACCGGTTCAAATGAAAATTAGGGCAATTTATGTGAATAATTAGTAGTAATGAATTTCGGGTAAATTGAAATATTTGTTGTTATTATAGTTATTGGATGCATGTTTTAGACAGTTCAGGAATTTTGGGTTAATTGTAAAATATTTGTTATTAATACATTAAATTAATTCATGGACACAGCCATGCTATTTTGTCAGAATTCAAATTTGTAATATTACTTATCTAAAGGGCTTAATTTAAAATATTTCGCACAATATTAAATAACTGTATTGTTTAAATGTTTAAAACATAATTATGCTAATGATTAGAATTAACTTCTGACTTTTATATCGTGTTTAAGATTCTACTTTTAAGATACTAGCGTTTGATAAGTATGCTGAATAGTGGTAAAGTAATAAAGATTTAACTGAAGTGATAAATTTTCTAAAAGACTTATTAAAAAATACTTAAAAACTTCTAAGTAATTTCTTTTATTCTGAAATAATATATATACATATACTGCAAAATAATATCTGCTAACTTCAGCTTATATCAATGTCTTTAAAGGGTAGGTGTAAATATTACACGTGAAGCATTCCCGTATATAATAAAACAAATAAAGCGTGTTACATTTGTGACAGTTAGAACGTTATTACTTTTGTCACATGCGGGGATGAATTAACAATTATTGTACTGAAAATTTAGAACCGTTATAAATTTATATATGTTTTGTTTAAATAAACGTTAAATTTATGTACATTTTCTAGATAGCCATTAATTTATCTTTTATTTTATACAAGTTTCGCTCAACTTAAATTGACCTAGACTTTTTCTAATGCACAAACGCCAAGATACTCACCCGTCTGTATAATGTCTAGTTTAAATCCATTGAGTGTTTAAAACTTTTGAAAGCTTATACTTCAGTCTGGCAGAGAAAAAACTAATTTCAAAAAATTATTTTTTTGTTATGAATTTTATATTATTAAAGTAGATATTCTAGATGCTATAAGCAAAGGTCTTAGTCGTGCAAAAAACCAATTATTATAAAATACATTGAGAAGGTAAGATCAAGTTATCGAAGTATTAATTCTGATAATACTGCTATTGATTTCATGCGCAGATATTATCCCTTTTGCTATGCTTTAAAGGCATTTAGGTTGAATGAACACTGATGCCCATGATTAGAACTCGGTAGACCACGTAAAGCATAAATTACTATTGAAATACATCACAGGAGAACAACCGCTGGTGCTTCTCGATACTAATCAGAACTAATTGGAGGTTTGAGTTTCTACTTCTGATATAATCTTAGGTATACATTAAGTTTGATAAAAAAATAACGAAGCAGAATAGGTATCAAGTGTATAGAGATTTTGAAATTAAGTGGCTATTATTAAATATAATGTTCCAATATCTAGCAACAAAAATCTGTTAAACTATAAGTCAGTAATTTCATAATTAAAAGAGACTTAATCTTGCAATAATATAGATATTTATATATACAAATAACAAAAATAAGCATTGAGCAATGTCCTGCATGCATGTATATTGATAAGTTATCAATATTTATATTGAATAAGTAAAGAGTTATAATTTAATTGATTATATTTGATACATTAAAGTAACATTTGATACACAAGGTTTGAGATTTGAAACACGAGGTTAGTTATTTATCTAAGTGACTTAACTATGAAGGAGAAAAATATACTGTTAATGATTTTATAGAGAAGTTGTTGGAGCAAAAATAGGATGTTTCTTTCATCGATTAAGGCCATGTTAGTCAGTCAATCATTTTGAGTTTGTAGTATGAGAAAACTTTGTTTTGGACCTTGCGTTGTTTTCTAAGAAACCGACGTTAAGATTGATGGCGTGTACATTTTTATTTAATACGTAAAATTAAAAGAAAAACATTCTAAATTACTAAACAAACAATTATGTCACAGTAAATTTCTTAAGAATTTGTTTTAAAAAAGGTTAGAGAAGCATGGAAGACTTTTTGTTGACAAACTTTTGTTCACGTGATTATTTGTAATATAATATTGAAGGATTTTTTATATTAAAGCAGATTATGTATATTTATAAAAATAATAGAGAAACTAAGGTTACCAATATCTTTGACGCCATTATCTATTCGCTTATCAGTTATATCTTAGGCTTAAGTCAAGACGACCCAGCTTGTTTAGTCATCATGAGTTGATATGCGGGCAATGTAGGCCTAAATATAATTTTGAAATATAACAACTTCAACTATGTTGAATTTTCCTTTGATTGAATTTTAATGTAAAAGTAACTGACCCACAAAAAAGGACTTTTTTATACCAAGAGGATTTTGAACATATGAAGATAATTTGAAGAGAGTCTCAAAAAAGCCAAACGCAAATCGTATGCGCAATGTGTCGAAAGTCACTTTGAATAAGACATTCAAAAATATAAGAAACATATGTATTAAGAGGAGCACGGTATGTTTTAGATAAGGTGTATTACTTACTTCGTCTTGGAGTATGGTGATGACGGTGATGATGTCTTGTGATTCCTGTTAGGATGTGTGTGCCTGTTCGCATTAGTGTCGAGGCCGCCGCCCGGCGATATCTTGCCGGCGAGTGCGTTCAATGAATGTAGCATGGCGGGCGGCGGCCGCTGGGTTCCTAGCGGCCTGGTCACGGTGAAGCCTCACCTCCGTTTGCGACTCTGCCGTTATCAACCGCCGGCTTATCTCCTGATAAGCGCGGGGGCACACCCGCCCCTCGCGTCATCGCCACCTGACACACACACACACACGTCCCCGATGTTTGCTTATATTTCGTCAAGGGTCAGCGTCCTGTCCTGCTATAACACCTTCCCATATTTTAGTTTTGATTTCACCGGCACTATCACTTTATACACTTCGGTCCTTATCACAGTTCTACTGAGCTAGTTCTTCCTGAGAATATTTATCATTTGTTATAGTTGCGATATTTCATTTATATATTAAAATTGTTTTTGTGTTTAGTCCTTAAATATTGCGAAAACTTAATAAAAGTTATATACATAGCGCCTGCTCTAAATTCGACAGCAATCGAAGACAAGAGGCCGTAAATGAGGTAATATAATAAAATATCATTTTGTGAGATGCGAAGTAATATAAAAAGAAAAGTTACGAACAATAAAACATAATATTATTATAGAAAGAATTTTTATTGTCCTGCCGATTGGATATATCTTTTGTATTAAACAGTTTTTATATACAAATTTATCGTTTGGAGGAAATTATAATTTAATATGTAAATTATGCATAAAGTATGAACTTTAAACTCTTTTTCAACGTCAGCGAAAGGTTAAAGCGCTAATTTGTGTTTTAATTCGATTACAGCATTTCAACAGATAATAGTTTTCGCTTGGGTCTGTTGCCAAATGCTGAGTAGTTCTGTACATTTGCCAAGCATGAATGTACTTTGTATTTACTTTACTAAACCAGACAAATTAACCGTTAAAATGTATAGAATGAATTTTATTCAGGATTACATTAAAAGAGTTGACAATTTTTGGCATTTCGTTATACCGGGAAATATTAAATGTCGAGTTTAAATTTAGAATAGTTTAATATTCTGTAACACAAATATTTTTTGCGTTATTGCATTGCTTAACTTCAAAATGGTTTTTGCGACAAAATTAAATCACAAGAAAGTTGTAATGTGAATTTTTAACGTGGTTTGTAATTTCAATCGGTTTTTACGACACTAAATTGCCGCTAAGGGGTTGTGACTGTGGGGTTGGGGGAGTGGTGGGGCTCCGGGAATTATCCGCACCGCGAATTATGTGAAACGTAAATTGCCATTTTTTTTTCATCAGGCACGCGAATCCCGACGACGACGGCGTCACGAAACCGGCGCTCACCCTTCTAAACGTTTGAAATGCTCAGCCAACGAGCGGGCTGAATTTTTTTCGTGAATTTCCCCATTTGATTGCCATATTTTCGACGAAGCTTTTAATAAAGGTTATTGTCAGTATTTCGAGGACACGAATGGATTTTCCTGGCATTTCGTCGTAAATTGAAAAGCTATTTATGCTACATTATGAGTCTGGAGACTAAACAAGCTGTAATTTCATGCACAATGTTTTATCGTTCTATACATTTGCGCGAGTTTATATTTCAAAATAGATAATAATACCATTAAACAATTTGTTGAAATCCGTGTGTAGTAAAAATTTTGCAACTACTTTGGCCAATTTTATACAAAAGTTATTTAAATAAAGTAAATTTCTTTCGAGCCTTTAAATGATGGTCACAATGACTCTTTAGCAAAGAACATTCATTGTAGTAAAGTACATTAAATAATCTCCCGCAGAATGCCGGACAAAATTAAAAGGACAATAAAACCTCCTTCACTTTTAAAATAGATGAAAGTGGTGTTCCGTTGGCTTTGGCTTGTCAACAGTAATTATTTGTTTATTAAACTCTTCCGGAACAGCTGCAGTGGGTCAGTTGAGCGCAAACTTGTTCAGAAATAAAGTTAGGACCACCAAGTGGTGACTGGAGTGCCGTCTTCACGGCGTCTTGCATACAAATGTCTCTAGATGAGGTCGAGACTTAAAATAAAGTCTTAACTGCATAACTAACATTTTATATTAAGTTATGAATAATTTTTCTTTACGTGCATTCATTTTAAATATATTTGTATGTTAAATTAATTAATTAATTAATTAATAAAAAACAACGTGGATAACAAATCTCATCCAGCTTAAACATTATCCACGTCAAAGCGGGTCTAGTTTTGGCGCGAACAAGGACTTTGCAAGGTTCGTCCTGGCACTGGAGAATTTCATTAATTTTCATTCGCAAAACTTTCGCCTTGTGTCTGTGATGAGTTATTATATTTTGAATTTCAATATTTCGGTGGACAAAAAGTCTTTATGTAAAATGTTTGACTTCGCAAAACTATCTTAATTGGATATTTTAATATTCTACGATTTTATTATTCGAAATAAATTTTCATATCTATATTTTTGGACTTCTATTTGCATTAATCATTTATATCGTTACAAATTGTTAAAATTTTCATCGGAAATATGAAAATATTTATGTACATAATATCATAGAATTCTTTTACTACTTACTAAGTGAATACTAATAGAAACATCGACAATTACTTTCATTCACCATTTAATACAAAACCAATCAAACTTCTCCGATATAACTTAACGGAAGCAATAAGTTATAAACTAATGTACTTCAATGAAGCAGAAAATTGATAGAGCTGTAAAACCACTAACACAATTTGTATAATTGTTGGGGTGTAAATATATAAGTACATGTTCACATAAAAACAAAATTCTTCCTATATAAGGTACCTTAAACAAACGTTAATCCTTGCCAAATGTTAAACGCGCAACTGATCAAAAGCAACTCTGTCAATAAAACACAAGATACGCCCCAAGCCGGGGGTATTTCCCAGCAATTATTCAACAAATTAGGAGCACACAACCTTTAACGGGGGGTCGTGAGCCGCGGAAACGTAATTTCCTCCCCGCAATGTTTTCCTGCCGCTAGTAACCCGCTACCGCCTTGCAACGGACGTAATTTAAATGTACGCACTATTTGTTCATGTTTGCGATGCAGGTGCAGTGAGTTACGAATGCTCTGTGTATAGAATATTCTGTGTGAGACCGAACAGACAACTATCTACCGAACGACAATAATTAATTAAGCTCAACTGTTAATAAACATGAACACGTCACTGCATTTTCAACTTCATTAACTTTCGACATTTTGATTATAAGAACTCTTAATTGTTATATTTATATAAAATGAAGAGAATACATTTTTAAACCACTTATAGCTGTGCAATTTGGACAAGATATTACAAAACCACATCGCAATTTTTTTAAGAACAATTAAAATGAAAACAATTTTTAAAATATTTTAACATTCATGTTACGCGACTCGTGTTTTTCAAACCAAGCTTGACTTGTTTTTCCAGGTGTCTGTATATGACGGCGTGTTATTTCTTCGAGTACATGGTTTGCCGTCTGTTTGTAACATTCAAATAATAATGAAAGCCTTGTTAGATACATATATCTATGCGTATGGATTCAGAATGTCAACAATATTAAATTTCTGATACTCTCGTATTTTGAATATATATTTCATTTAAAAATAAATAGAATCGGTTCTATGAATGAGTTTGTTATAATCAGAATTCAATGAAATATTTATAACACGCTTTAACATCGTGTCCAATTTACAAATTCACAATCATATAAGCAATAATGAGCCAATTAAGAAATAAGTTATACGTAAAGTGATGATATTTTTACTGTATTATTTATTAAAAGGATAATTGTTTTATATTTATGTTCTTATTCAACAAGGTATTTCTCACTCATATTTTTATGTTACATTGGTCCCTGATAGTTATCAAGATATAGGACATAAAATAAAATAATTATCCCTTTAATGTTTTTGTTAAGACAAATAATGTATAACGATATTTATTACTTAGTGAAGTAAAATTAATCAATACATTAATAGTTAATACAACAGAGTGGACAAATTTTGGATACTATTTTAATAAAGTAAAAATCTCAAATACATATGATATTGCTCGAAAATGGTCATATGAATATTATATTATATGACATCGATTATAATAACGAAGTACACTGGCGTTAGTGGGCTTTGGTATTCGCACCGTTTCACATTTTACGCATTGACAAACGAATGAGCAATCATGAGGCAATTTGTGCGTCTGCTTGATACTTCAAACGGCTCGCAGGGTTATATTAATTGGTTCCTGACGTAACAGATCATAGTTTATTTCGGTGTATTTGTATGTGAATGCACGGCTTTATAACAACTTGTGTTCGTTAATAACGAACTTTTTAGAGTTTTAAAATATTTCACATGTATTTTTTTTAACCATTTGATATTTTTTTATGAATCGGTTAAAACATATATGTTTAGCCTTCAATACTATTTATGACATTTAAATATTTTTTTCAAATAATTTATGAGACTCCAAATATTTTCGTCCCTTTTTGATATATCATTGTATAAAAAAGGAAAAAGAAATCTAAAATACGGTGTGATTGGTATTTATCGCTTCAGTATGATATCCGTATTAGTCATTTTTCCAAGTTAATATATTTCATTTTGTTAATATTATGGACATATCAGTATTAATATTATATATTACATACTCCCGGTAGACAAGCGTATATAAGGATTACAGTTTATCCCGAGAGAAACGATCTGTTCATCTAATAGTTTTTAGCTACCAATCAAATATACCAGACCGGTTAAAGGTTTCTCTAAATTTACAGTTAATTAACTTATATTTACGTTAGAGGTAAGTGGCAATTACAACTTGCCTTGGAGATCTAGAGTACTGCCTTAGAAAGGTATGTATGTATCTACTTTCGGGTATGTTTATGGAAGGCCATGTGTTCTATAACAATATCCTCTTAAGGATAACTCACGGAACACGTGAGCTAACTTAAACAGCCATGCTTTAACGAACAATAATGTTTACGTAGCCCCAAAATTTTAATAATGGTTCCGAGGTATTTATGTTTCTGATATTAAGTAATTAAGCGTATTTTAAGTATGAGCGAACCTTATTTGAAATATATATGTTAATCATTACAAGTCAATTATTTGAGTATGATTTTAAGTGTGAGAAACATATTTTTACAGTATATTTTTTATTTCATTATCATCAGTAAACGCGGCGGGAACAACAAAATTAAGGCGTCTAACGTGTTCAGCAAACAACAAAAATATAGTATAATTAAAATAGAAAGTAGGATACAAAGATATTTTTCGTTTATTTGTTTGCCTTTTTGTTCCGGCTTATCTCCAAAATAGCCGGAAGAGTATTTGTGTAACCTGTATAGGTATACATAAAAAAAGTGAGAAAAGTATATCTGTGTAACAAACATTCTTACTTGCATTTATGTTTAAGTTAGTAATAATATTTTAGTAAAACAGGTAAATAATATAGTCGGTAAGTTAAAGTATAGTAGCTACAGTAGACTATAAAATCTGTTAGCGTAATTTCTAGACGCACCTAATGTTGTTGCTTCCTGTTTCTTAAATCGCCTTTAAACTTACAGCTTGGTCGCCTCGTTGGTTTCAAATTCATTTAGCCCCAAGTGTATTCTGGTTCCGGGTTTTGTAATTTAAATTCGTTTACTTTACATTTTAACTCCATTCAAGATTTATTTTAAACCAAGCTGAGGGATGTTTAAACGCAAATTATTTTATTATAAAAAATCAAAAACCCTCATTCATTAATCTCAGCTCAAAATGTTAAGGTTTTTCTTTAGTATATAAAGTTTTTCTTTAGTATAATATAAACAAAACGTATTGAGGCCTTTGAAGTCTTCTCATATATGAAAATTAATGTTCTTATATGTATTTTATAACATAGGAACAAAGAAAAATCCTGAAAACTTTTAACGCATAAGTAAAGGGCACTCAATCAATTTGGAATGTCAAGAAAAAAACAGAGATATTCCGACAAGTTCTTGTTCGAAGCTCTTGTCGTAGGATGTTGTACGCAGGTCGTAGTAGAGTGGTTGACAAACGACCTCAGGGTTGGCTATACAAAATAATGTTAATTTTAACTATTTAATTATTTCTTAATGGACAATCTTATTAAATTTCAAGTATAATTATCATCACTATTTGGTTCTCACAAAGCGCTTTCTAATCACAAAAACTAAAAGGACTAGAACAATACTACTTAAATTAACTTCGACTATACAAACACTCCGGAAGAAGAAAGCATTTCACCGAGAATTTAATATTATTTTCCACTACTGTGTTCAGTATAAAGTGCCAACCCTATTGATCTGATCTTTTTTGTCTAAGGCTTTTGTCCCAGGATTAAGTGAGCACCTTATAGATTCGCTGACTCGACCTACATTGCAAAATACTTATAACATTCTTCAACCCACTACTAGTGTGACTATAAACACACAATGAAGATACTGTCTATGTATATCATTGAAAACTACATATTTAATTACATCGTATTTTGATAATAAATGATGAATAAAAATTTGATAATATTTTAAAGAATAACTGTCCCATTACGAGTATTTCGGTAAAGGCAATGATATGGCTTCCAAAAAATAAATATCCTCTGATCACAAGAAAACAAGTATAAATGCTAACTAGACCAATAAAATGGTGAAGGGTCCACTATTTGGTGACAATATGGCTCGGTCGCAACAAAATCTTATTAAAACTTGTCGCGTGCTGACCGTTTGTTTGACTTGATTCGTATCCTGGATATTGTAGGAACGTCCGCAATCCACGGTGCATGAAACTCGCAAGCACCTACGTCACGAAATATATTATATAGTGTTTATTACAGTTTTTATATATTATATACTATTAAAAATATGAATTGTCCTCAAATTAAGATTTTACTAGGCCGAATGAAAAGGATTTTATTATTCCGAAGTTTATCCCTTTTATTAATCAAACTAATAAAGCGATGGAGTTTGTTTATTGTTCTATGTTTTCTTCCTATTCGGATTGGTATAATTATTATA